TGTTATTTCAACCAAATAGAGACGATTGGGTGCATCGGATCCGATGTGAAGAGTCCAAAAGCCCAAAGCAGCGATTGGACCAAAGGAAATGTAGTTGAAGATGAGCCAAATGTAGAAGCCCTTTGTATGAAATCTGCAACAAGTTTGAATTGAAATTTTTCATGTTGCCATAAATCCAGGACGACTATACAATAGAGCTGAGCTAGGCCTCTTTTTTGGTGCATTTAACTGATATTTTCAACTGTCTGCATCATTTATACTGCTCTGTACTCATTATCAAATTAATCCGAACCTAACCTGGTCCGGTTTAAAGGTGGCCAGCCAAGCCAGCACAAAACATTGAAAACTTTATAATTAAGTGACATTTTGTATCATATTGTAAATATAACTGCAATGGTCGAAATGTCTGACCGACAACTCTCCAACCCACTTCAACCAGCATCCAGTAGGCAAGAATGATTGATGACGATAGAAAAAACAGTGCCATGTTGACATGGCCATTGTGGAAACAAATAATGTGCCGAGAACCTGAACCATAAGTTAAGAGAGCTCTTTGACCATTAGCTATATTGAGGTCAACAGCCCACCGAACCAACCATTAGATTGCTTCCTCCAAGGAAACTTAAGATGCCCGTTGATCGTCCAGCTAGTGTGGGAAAGAATATTTCAAATTGCACACACCGAATATACGCCTCCATACAAGTGGCACCAAACTAGAATACGAAAGAAATAACTATGATCAAGATCTAGGGGAGAGGGAGTATATTCCTCCCCTGCCCCTCCTTGGCCTGGTAGGAAAACATTGAACACTTTATAATTAGATTAAATTTTGTATCATACACCTCTTACCTGGTACCATCCCAAAACCCATCGATAATCTTTGGCCAGTTTCGGATAGACACTCAATATTAGCCATAGAGTGAATAAATTGATCGATCCTCCGACAATTCCGAAAATCAAATTATATCGATGAAAGTTTGTTGGTTCTTCATAAGTAAATGATTCCATTTGAAACTTTTATAAGAACCTTCAATAAAGCTTTAATCGATAAACCTCTATAGAAGTTTTAAATGAACTAGTCTCTCTTATTTCTTATATTAGGTTGGCAACTTAATAATGACGCGTTTATGTAACAAATCATTTATTTCAAAAAAACACAAAAGAAGAGCTTTCAATTCGAAAGGTATTCTCCATTAGTATCTATGACTTCTTCCCGTCTTCTCCGCAAATCCCGGATACCATCCTCGAAGAACTTTGGAGTTTTTGAGGCGAAGTAGTCATTCACTGCTTTTATGACCTAAGCATGATCATCGAACTTTTCTCCCTCCGAAAAGTGCTTCAGCGACCGAAACAAAAAGTAATCTGAAGGAGCCAGATCAGGTGAATAAGGCGCGTGGGGCAAAACTTTCCAGCCAAGTTCCTCGATTTTCTTATAAGTGATCTTTGCAGTGTGAGGTTTTGCGTTGTCGTGTAAAAATCTGACTCTCTCCGGTTTTAGCCCCAATTTCTTCAAAGACTCGTTAACTCTCATTAATTGCTTCGAATAAAGATCAGCATCGACGATTTGGCCAGGTTTCAGCACTTCATAATGCACCAATCCCTTGAAGTTCCACCAGCAACAGAGCATTATCTTCTTCCCATGGATATCAGGTTTGGGAGTGGTTTGCGGGGTCTGCCCAGTAGATAGCCATTGATTTTTGCGTTTAACGTTCTCGTAGTTGATCCACGTTTCGTCAGAAGTCAAAACCCTGTGAAAAAAGTCGTTTGATTTACATTTTTGTAGCAAAATTGAGGCGACATTGACACGGGCCATTTTGTTGCTTTGGGTCAATTCGTGAGGAACTCATTTTCCAATACGATTCTTTTTCCCAAGTTTGTATAAATAGTTTTCGATTGTCGTATGGGATACTTAAAATATTTCTGCCAACTCACGAACCGTGAGTGTTGGGCAATCTTCAATTAAGGCGAGCAAGTCATCATCGACCACTTCTGGAGGATGTCCTTGGTGTGGCTCGTCTACGAGGCTTTCATCGCCGCCTTGGAATCTTTGAAACCATCGTTGACATTGCCCAATGTTTATACTTTTCTCTCCAAAAACAGTGATGATCGTGCGATGAGATCCAGCTGGTGATTTTCCTTGTTAAAAATCGTAGAACAATACAGCTCGAATACGGAATTTTTTGTCCTCCATTTTTTGCCAAAAAGCGAATGATGAAATTCGGAGCACTAAATGTTATTTATGCAGACATCTTTTACTTTGTATATATGCAAAAAAGAGGGAAGAAACGGTGCTTGAAATTACAAAAAACATGTTAAGTAGTGACGCGTCATTATTAAGTTGCCAACCTAATAAGATGTGGTCAGATATGAAACTGGAAAGTACAAAATTAGGCATTTTGCCGAACTCTGAAAAATCTAAATAGTGTTTAAAGTATGAAATTTTCGAATTCAGAATCTACAGGGTGCGGCCAAAATATCCGGCGATGAAAAGACCGACTGGTCTTCAGAAAATTAGCAGAAAAGCTTTATAGAATTTTACTGAAAATAACAACAACAGTCCAAATAACAAAATAAAAACAGTTAAATCTCAAAGTTTCCCCCTTTTTCCTTCATGCAAGCCCTAAGTCGCTTCGGCACATCGTCGACCGCGGCACGGAGAGTCTCAACGGGGATTTTTGCCCATTCCTTGATAAGGGTGGCTTTCAGATCATCCAAATTAGCAGGTGGAGCTGATGAGACCTTTGCCTTCAAGATTCCCCATATGGCGAAATCCATAGGATTGATGTCAGGTGAATTTGCAGGCCATTCTTACGGGGTAATGAAATCCACGTTTTGCTTGGCAAACCACTCCATGGTCTTTTTTGCACGATGTGCTGGTGCAGAATCTTGTTGAAAGATCCAAGGTGCTCCAGAAAAGTGATTATCAGCCCAAGGCTTCATATGCCTCAACAAAATTTCTTTTTCGTAGTAATTTTGATCAATTTTCACACCTGGCTGTACAAAAACAAGAGGTGTTTTTCCATCAGTGGTCACCCCGGCCCAAACCATCAACGATTTTGGATGAGCCGATTTTTGGACAATTCTTCCCTGAGAATTTGCCGTGGCAACATCTTTTGTTAAAATCCGATTATTTTGCTTGTTGAATTCCTGCTCAATTGTGAATGGCGCTTCATCTCACCAGAGAACCCTCCGATGCGTGCCACCCTTCAAACGCCGCAACAAAACTTTGCATTTCTTAAGTCTTTGCTCCTTCATTTTCTCAGTGAGAACATGTGCTGCTTGAAATTTTATAGGCTTCAATTTAAGATCCAATTTGACAATCCTCCTGACACTTTTTTCCGAAATTTGGAGACTTTTGGCCATTTTCCTCATTGATTGACACGGATTTCTTCGGATTCTTTCGCGAAGCACTTTGATGTTCTTTGGGGTTCGCACGGATTTTTTTTGACCTTTTCCTGGCTTGTCGGACAAGTTCTTACGTGTGGCAAAATTTTTCCTCACATCTGAAACTGTTTGATGCGGTATTTTCAGCTTTCTCGCGGTATCCATCACGCTGAGTCCATCCTTGGTCATTTGCAAGATGAGCGCCCTCTTTTCTTTTCGTCCCAGCTTCATTTCTAAATCACTTATTTATCAAAAAAATAATTGAAACATATAAAAAAGAATAAAAAAATGCATAAACATAAAAAGAAGCGTGAATAAATGAGTTTTCGCAGTATTATGGCAAAAAGTACGTTCCGCCGGATATTTTGGCCGCACCCTGTACAATATAGAATTTACAATATAGAATACTTCTTCAACGGCACAAAAATAACTTTTTCCTCTAGTTTTAGCTTAAGCTTGCCATTTCCCGGCTTGCCAGTCTAACTGCAATATTACTGCCCAAAAATCAAGGTCAGGGTACTTTTTTATTGTAGTGTTTGTGCCTTTTTCTGTAATTTTTTCATTGTTATTGTTGAAATTGAAATGGAAAACTGTTTTCTTGACAGACAAGGCAGCCGGTACACCCACTTCCTTGTTATTCAAATGTTGGGGACAATAAATCAGTTACACTTGACTGGGAGGAAACGTGGTTTTGAGATTTAAAAAATTTGATGGCTAAAAGAAACTTGTGGGCGTTCTGGGCGAAGTCCAATCCTACATATACGTCCTTGAGTTTCAAATCCCCCATATGCATATGCTCTTGACATTAAAATCACAATGGAAACTTATATCAGCTGACCAAATTGACAGACTAATTAGTGCTGAACTTCCAGATTGGGAACTAGATCCACGGCTTTTTGACATTGTTTCAAAATTTATGATTCATCGACGATGCCTTTAACTTCAATTCTCCAATTCTCCAATTCTCTACTTTTTTATTGTAGTGCTTGTGCCCTTTTCTGTAATTTTTTCATTTTTATTGTTGAAATTGAAATGGAAAACTGTTTTCTTGACAGACAAGGCAGCCGGTACACCCACTTCCTTGTTATTCAAATGTTGGGGACAATAAATCAGTTACACTTGACTGGGAGGAAACGTGGTTTTGAGATTTCCACAAGACCGGTTTCAAAATTTTGGAAAATTTTATAAAAAATCACACAAAAAAAGCTCCATAGATCCAACAGATATAAACCATACTCCGCCGATCAACAGTTCTATTCGATTTTAAACAATAAACAGATAAGTTTCTTGAACCGTTCACTTTTCGTTTTTGCCATGACAGAAGAGCTAAAACCTATAATCTAATCTCTAGATTTTATTACTCTACTCTTTATTTTGATTTTATTGTTATTTTCGAGTAACGTTTCTTTCTATACGCCCTAATCTAGTTATATGATCCTGGCTTTAGGCATCAAGTGTATCTTATAAGGAATGAAAATAGGATCAGCTATAAAGACCGTATTGACTCTAGTAAACTATCATAGTTTCCTATTCTTGAGTATCTTGAGCTTACATCGGTTCTATTATACTCCGAGTTTGGCCGAGTTATTTGAGAATCACCATAAATCATTTCAGAGATGCGTTTCTACTCGATCCTTTTCGCGATGCTATGTGTGGTTGTGACCCAAGTTTGGGGAAGACCCTATGTAAACGCACACAAGAGAGATTTGCCAATGATGATCCACAAGAGAGAATTTGATCTGCCGATGATGATCCACAAGAGAGAAGCTGATCTGCCAATGATGATCCACAAGAGAGAATTTGATCTGCCCATGATGATCCACAAGAGAGAAGCTGATCTGCCAATGATGATCCACAAGAGAGAATTTGATCTGCCAATGATGATCCACAAGAGAGAAGCTGATCTGCCCATGATGATCCACAAGAGAGAATTTGATCTGCCAATGATGATCCACAAGAGAGAATTTGATCTGCCAATGATGATTCATTAAAAACGATAAATGAGACATTTAGAAGTAACAGCTGTCTATTTATCCTGTCCTAAAGCTTTGAACGTAAAATAAATTTTGTCTCTTTCAGTTTCAAACATTATCTGCCGTAACCAAATACCGTCGAACTTCGATTCAACGAAACGTTCGATATAACGAATACTATTTTTGCTTCCAACGAAAAGTTTTACCTTAAGATGACCTTCGATACAACAAAGACTTCGATATAACGAACTTGTTGGTCTTGTATCTGATGTAACAAAGTGTTAACTTAATTAAAGACTTTCATTGAGATACAAAAAGTATTCGAATTGAAATATCAAAGCCTACCCTTGTGGCCATTTCAGACTCATGTTTGTTCGTCATGGTTTTCGCTTTTTCTGAGTTTTGACCAAAATTTCTTTGCTTTTATAGCTAAGCATTTGCAAATGTGACGTTTATTATACAACAGCTCTTTCCTTAGCTTGGTGGAGCGCCCCAGTCGGAGTATTTCTTCATTCCATCACCATCTCCATCATCAGCGTAGGCTCCATCATTACGAATCTCCCAATAGGTGAACTCGTTTGTTTGGCCCGGGGTACCGGGCAGTCATCACTAAAATTAGATAGAACTTCAAGTAAAAAAGAGCGAGAGTAGGTGCTATGATCAAATAATCACGGTGAGATCAGGACCAGGCTCACTCTGAAATTTTTAAAGAGTTGTTGTAGACTTGCAGAACCAGTCATACAATGATCATACGCGAAAACCTCAATAATACTCGGATTCTCGCAAAATACCCGGATTTTATGCAAGAGCCAGTTGACGCTTTTCAAGTTGAAAGTAAATCGACTTACAAATTGTTCAATCCTCATACGTTCTGATGAATATACCAGTTGCCCGAGTCGCGAGCCGCTTGATCGTTCGAATTCGCGTAACACCAGAAACACGTTCGCCCACCAGCACTCGAGCCGAAGTTCCATCCGAGGGCCTAGATTTAGCATGACTTCTTATGGAAAACGAGCGGGAAACCCACTTACGACGAGTTTTCCCGCTCGTGGTTTAGGGACCGCTCGTGGTTTAGCCCGTCGCAAAGTTTTCAGCTTTTCTATAAAATTTCAGGAGGTGCGAATTTCCTATGGAAAAAATTGGTATTCATTGGATACAGAATAAAACTTTACATCAGATAATTCTTTTTCAAGAAGATTGATGCAAGTCTTTGAATTAGGGTGGAATATGGAAATTTCTCTCCCCCCACCCAAAGTGGAGGTCCTCGGTTTAGACTAAAATAACTTGTATAGTTCTTCACTTATATTAGCATTTTCACAAAGGTATAGATGAGTTTTAAAAAGTTGAATTTCCGTCTCCCCAACCCACATCTCCCGGTTGCAATGTCCACCAATCGTCCGAGTCCGACCCATCTCCCGTAATCGCATCGTCGGCCGATGCACACTTCAGAAAGATCGACGCTGTGGCCGTGTTGGTGACCAACACTTTGAACTCCTGGGTCAGACCGGCAATGATCTCTAAGGCTTGAGCGGCCGGCGCAGCAAAAGCTGAAAGCGAAAATCGATGTTATACAGGGTGTTCAATACAGGGTGGCTGAAAATTACGTGCGCGCAGCATCAGCATCATAGTTTTAAACAATGTATAAAGCATTACTACTCATCTTTTTGTGTTTTAATATTCTTTTTATCGTTGTCTAATAATTTTTTGTTAAAAAAGTTGTTTTCTAGGTCATGACAAAGACGTGCGCTAGTCGGGACGCAATCGCACAGCTGGCGACGAGCGGCATGAAGAACTCGTCGATCGCACCGAGGCTTGGGGTGGCTCTGAGGACCGTCCAGAAAATCGTAAAGCAATGGAAAGATGAGGGGCATGTTCAGTCCAAGCCCGGAAGAGGACGAAAGAGGACCGTTAACACCCAAAAGATGCATGGGATCATCAAGAGGAGGATCGAGATACATCAGATAATTCTTTTTCAAGAAGATTGATGCAAGTCTTTGACTTGGGGTGGAATATGGAAATTTCTCCCCCCGAAATTCTACTGCATCGATCGCAAAGTGGTCAAGCGATGCCTGAAAAAGAAAGAAGAGCTGGAAGAGCTTCATGGGAAAAGGAAACGATTGGATGGAGGAGGCCGCCACCTGAATTCGGCTGATGTCGACGAAGCTTTGGCAATTTGGGTGCGGAAACAACGGGCTGAAAAAAAGAGGGTCACTCGTCGGATACTCTTCAACGAAGCGGCTAAACGTTCTAAGGAAGTCGGTGTACCTTTCATTGGAAGCAATGGCTGGATGGAGAAGTTCTTGGAACGGCACAATTTTTCGCTTCGCATTCCTACAACGACCACCCAGAAGCTACCGGCAGATTTTGAGAAGGTCCTCGTCAATTATTTCCTCAATCTTGGACAAAAATTGGCTGAAAACAACTACAAATATGTGTTTGCGGCCGACGAGACTGCTGTCTGGCTCGATCACTCATCGAACAAGTGCATTGATTCGATCGGAGCGAAAGAAGTTGAAGTGCTCACAAGAGGTTACGAAAAACTCAACGTTACGGTGATGCTTACTGCCAGAGCTGATGGCTTTAAGATGAAACCGTTTGTTGTGTTACCACGAAAAAGAATGGATAAGAAAGTTGAAGAGAAGTTTCGCAAACGATTAATCCTTTATTGGAGTGGTAAAGAGCAAAAATGCTTCGATAACTCAATCACAACTGATTATTTGGAAAGGACCTTTCGGAGGATTGGGTTCTTTGACAAAAAGGAACGCTCTTTACTAGTATGGGATCAACACACGGCCCATCGAAGCGAATCAACGATGAAATCTTTGACAAAACTAAAGCTAGACTGCTTTTTTGTACCTGGAGGCACGACTAAATTTGTTCAATGTGCAGATGTTTCCTGGAATGCTCCCTTTAAAAAATATATTCGACATCAATATGAAGATTGGATCCTATCAACGGCACCCGAATTGACGAAATCGAAAGCTGATGGATCTGGTGGTGGTAACCCCAAACCTCCTGCAATGGATGTTTATCTGGAATGGATTGCTTCGTCTTGGGAAAAACTATCTTCAGAAATGATTGCCGAGTCATTTAAAATCTGCGGAGTAGGAATTGATCAGGATAGAAAAGAAGATCATCTTATTCACTGCTTCCGCTCAGATGGCCCGATACCTTCCGGATTTAAAGCAATTCAGAGTGCCCGATTGGATAAGGAAATCGATAAAATTTTAGTCCCAAGCATCGAATCAGCAAATTTTCGTGAGCCTAGACAAGAGGCTGAATACGATTCTGATACATTCATTGCTTGAAATGCTGTTTTTCTTACATTATTAGTTTCTGTTAATTTTTGTTGTTGAAATAAATAAATAATTCGATAAAAGTGACTTATGATCTCGAATGCTTTATTGGCACTACTATTTTTTTTATCGTTGAATCAACGTCAATTATGTGTCTAAGTACGCCTGCAGAGGACTATCGAAAAATAAAAGCCCCCCCTCCAATAAACGCCCCCCTCTAATAAACGCCCCCCCTTGAGGGGTATCGAAAAAATAAACGCCCCGGGGCCTTTAATAGAGTAAATACGGTATCAAACTTTAACAAGCTTAAGTCACCTTTTTCAAAACTATTGCCTTTCGCGTTGATTTTTGTCTAGAAACTCCCGTGACAAGCGCTCACTGTGGCACGGAGATAGGGCACATCAAGTTTGTCACAAACTTATGTTATGTTTTCTTGAAACAATCAAAACTCAAATATGATTTCAACATTTTTAATGTCCCATAAATTTGAAAACTGGTAAATAGTGAACCTTACCATTAAACAAGAATAGATCTGACCCAGATCCTAAATCTGACCCCTTCAGGTGTAATTTGGTGATCGAGTTTCAATGAATCGGTTTTTCGCATAACAAATGGAGTAAACAGTAAAAGTAAGTTAGCATTTCATGTTTTTTCCAACTCTGTAGTTCAGTGCTTTCTTAATGATTTGTGCTTTTTGGATTTTGGAGGCGCTAAACAACCTTCAGACTCAAGGTTTTCATAAATATTGAATACGATGTAAAAAAGACCGAATTCTTACCTTCATAGGTGGCACTGGCCGAGTTGGAGAAAACGAGTACTCCAAGGAAAAGAGCGCAAGAAATACTTTTGAAAATCATATTTGTACAGAAAATGGTTTTTCGATGAAGGAAAAAGCACAACATTTGACTGTTGAATTTGCCCTGCTAATCCTGTTATTTATATACTATTCTAGTTTATTTCAAACAGAATAGCTTTCATTCAAATTCGGGCAAATATTTTTCGTGAAAAACACATACTTTCCAATAAAGTCCCCTTGTGTTTGGGATTTGGTTTGGTACATTTTGATTTCGTGTTGATTCTGTCTACTTTGCCTTTGTGATCTATTCATTTTTCAATATAATATTCAAATCCTCCAAAAATGCAGTTTCCTGGGCACACGAGACACAAGAAAAACAACCTTTTCCCGGGTACATTCGACACTGTTTTGGCAAAGTTTATCGTATTTTTGAATATGTCACAAAAGCACCCACTGGCTTGAGCACCCACTGGCTTGAGCACCCACTGGCTTGAGCACCCACTGGCTTGAGCACCCACTGGCTTGAGCACCCACTGGCTTGAGCACCCACTGGCTTGAGCACCCACTGGCTTGAGCACCCACTGGCTTGAGCACCCACTGGCTTGAGCACCCACTGGCTTGAGCACCCACTGGCTTGAGCACCCACTGGCTTGAGCACCCACTGGCTTGAGCACCCACTGGCTTGAGCACCCACTGGCTTGAGCACCCACTGGCTTGAGCACCCACTGGCTTGAGCACCCACTGGCTTGAGCACCCACTGGCTTGAGCACCCACTGGCTTGAGCACCCACTGGCTTGAGCACCCACTGGCTTGAGCACCCACTGGCTTGAGCACCCTACTCGTTCAAGATAGGTAAGTATCGGCTATACACTGCAATCACTGTATTATATTTTGTTCGCCAGTTCAGTTTTAAATTCTTTGAA